AGGGGGTGGAGCCACGATACTGCCCTCGGGGAGTTTTCAGAAAGACAGGCTCACAGAACCAAAAGGCTAGAGAAAACCGCAGAACGGGCTAAGACTGCATGGCCCCGTGTTGAGAGCAGAGGAATCAAAAGGTGGGCCTGAGTTGGTTTCCTAAGGAGCCGTGAAACTCAGATAGGCAAAGGGGGAGAGCTGGGCCCTCCAGGTCAGGCAGCAATGTGAACAAGGCCTGGGGGCAGGGAGTTGAAACATTTATTTAATTTTCATTTCATTCCATTTCAAACTTGAAACAACTTAAAGGACACCTATTCAATGAAATGTAGAACACACATGAACAATGAGGACCGGGGGAATAAACCCTAAGTTGGGGCTCTGTAATAAGGTGTTGCACAGTAGTTATAGTTGGACCACATTTGGGTCTGAGCTTCCTAGTGGCAATATATTCCTATATATAGAAAATTACTCACCCTCCTCTGAGCTTGTCACTGTTTATGTATTTCTTTTTTTTTTTTAACATCTTTACTGAGGTATAATTGCTTTACAATGGTGTGTTAGTTTCTGCTTTATAACAAAGTGAATTAGTTATACATATACATATGTTCCCATATCTCTTCCCTCTTGCATCTCCCTCCCTCCCACCTTCCCTACCCCACCCCTCCAGGCGGTCACAAAGCAGCCGCGTGGCACCGGGATATCGGCTCGGCGCTTTATGCATTTCTTGCTTCAGTTGACCAGTGAATACCAGCCCCTGTTCCTCTCCATTCCAGCTCCCCAGGGAAACCAGCAGAACCTAAAGAACTGTCCCTTGTGGGGTTTCTGTGGGGCCCTGAGAGACACAGGAGCGACCTTGTGTTTGATGGCCGGAAGCACATACACCACCAGGGTCCTGTGCTTTCCTTCCTAGCAGTGCAGGTGAGGGAGGGATGGAGAAAAGTGGAGCTAGACCCCTGGGTCTGAGTGGCCACCCTATGTCTAGCCTGGCCTGGACATTTGGAGCACTCGTGTCCCTCTGACTCTTGGGTGTGTGATGGTGGTGAATGGAGGAGCTGGGGCTGGGCCCGCCTTCCCGCAGGACCGTGTTGCTCGCAGCCCGGAAAGGCCTGGCTGTGTTGCTGGCAGCGATGATCTGAGGAAGATGACCTACCTGACCATGTGCCTCAAGGAGAGCTTCCGCCTCTACCCCCGTGTGCCCCAGGTGTACCGCCAGCTCAGCAAGCCCGTCACTTTGTGGATGGTCGCTCTCTACCTGCAGGTGGGATGAGGTGGATTCTGGGTGGAACCGGAGTCCTTGCGGGTGCTCTCTGTACCCTCGCACCAGTGGGGAAGAGCCCAGGCTTTGTGTTTGGCCTGCGTCCAAGTCCTAGCTCCATAAGGTAGGGGTAAATCCCTCTACCTCTAAGCCTCTGCTCTCTCTTCTGTAACTGGGGATGAGAAGGGTCCCTGCCTTACTGGGTTGTTCTCAGGAGGAAAGAGACAATATTCGTCAGGGCTGTCATGTACCACCATGCAGGCTGGGCCCCGAGCAACTTCAGGAGGCATCATTCACTTCAGGTACGATGCTATGCCATGTACAACCCGTATGACCGTGTGTGGTAGCTTTGTAAGGAGTGTTGCTGGGTCTGAGTGTTGCTGGGTACGATGCTGGGTCTGACACCTAGTAAGCACCGATGAATGGTAGCTGTTACTGCTGATAGCATAATTTCATGAACAAGTACTCCCCTTGAGAGTCAGTTAATGGAAAGCAGAAAGTGTGATAGTCCTTGCCTGTCCTACCTCATGGTGGGGTGGGTGCATCAGTCCTTTGCTCCTTTTCCTTTCTACAAATGTCTGTGTCCAGTGTTGTGGTCAGTGAGCACAGGGGCTACAGGAAGTAGGTGTGATGATGATCAGAGGCACTTTGATGTGTTGAGGGTGGTCATGGACCCTCTGTCACTGGCAGTGCTCAGGGAGGGGCTGGTACCCAGTTAGGGGGACGTTAGGGGATTCTGGCCCTGTGAGGAGGTGGGCCTGGCTGCTTCATGACCACCTGGTCACCAGGCCTCTGCTCTGCGCACAGGTAGCCTGATTTCTCTGCACATCTATGCCCACCGTAGGAATAGTGCAGTGTGGCTTGAACCCGAGGTACGCCATCCCAGGGCCCAGAGGTCAGATGGGGTGGGTGGCTACGGGGTCAGCCTGCCCTAGGACCTGGAAGGTATTTAAGAAAGGCCTGTCCCCTCAGGTCTTCGACCCCCTGCCCTTTTCCCCGGAGAATGTGGTTGGATTTTTGCCTTCATTCTGCTCTCTGCTGGGCCCAGGTAAGGAGAGCCTAACATCCCTGGTCCTCTGGACCAGGGAGGTGAGGATGGAGGATGTCGTTGGGGACGCATCCTTTGGGGGAACTCTGGGATGAGGGGGACCATGCTGGGTGTGCGGTGACCCTGATGCAGGGGAAGTTTCAGGGACCTTCCTCCTACCATTAGCATAGTCTTGTACTTGGCAGGTGGGTGGGTGAGTCATTCCAAGAGAGACCCCCTAAGCCACAGCCCACAATGTGAACCTACCTGGTCTGGGACCCTCACCATACTCCCAGGATCTGTTTCTTAAGCCCAGGTCAATCAATCAATCAGCCAGTTATTCATCCAAAAAGAGCTACTGATTTCTGCTGGTCACTTAGAGCACTGTTTTTCATCACTCTGGACACCCTGTAGCCTGATGTCATTTTGTGCTGCTCATCGCAGGAACTGCCTTGCACAGCAGTTTGCCGTGAACAAGATGAATGTGGTCACAGCTCTCTGCTTGCTCTGTTTTGAGTTTTCCCTGGACCCCTCAAGGCCACCCATCCAGATACCCTGCTCTCCAAGAATGGCCTCCACCTCCACCTGAAGCCGCTGGGCCCTGGCTCTGGAAAGTAGATCTGCTGAGAGAAGGGCCCGAGCCAGCCCAGGCTGTGGCCTCTCCCTGGGTGCTGCCATCTCCAAGCTGGGCTGCAGAGTAGCTGTGTTCCTTTGTCTTCCGCAGGCTTGTGGATTAGAGGGGAATAGGCACCTGCATAGACGGTCACCTCGAGGGCAGTGCCATGTAAACATGTGTGTCTAAAAATGCGTACTATGCATGTGTTCCAGAGCTCACTCATTCATTCAACAAACATATGGTGAACACCTACTTGCTTCTAGACTCTCCCTGTATCTCTCATAATTGTTCATCTTTCTAAAATTTACACAGCGTTAGCTGCAGAAGCTCTGCCTTGGGGTCGGCGGTTATGAGCAGGCACTCGCCCACTTCACGTGATAGATGGATGGCTTTCGGGCCTGCCCCTTCACCGAGATCTGTCTCTTTGTTTAACTTTGTGTGTATGTTTTTGGAATATAACAGACATAAGGAAAAATTGCTTAAACCAAAAATACACAAGACAATGAATTTTAAAAAATATTTTGATTTATTTATTTTTGGCTGTGTTGAGTCTGTTGCTGCACGCGGGCTTTCTCTAGTCGTGGGGGCTACTCTCCGTCACTGTACGTGGGCTTCTCAATGCTGTGGCTTTTCTTGTTGCAGAGCATGGGCTCTAGGCACTCGGGCTTCAGTCGTGTGGCACGCAGGCTCAGTAGCTGTGGCTCGTGGGCTCTAGAGCACAGGCTCAGTAGTGGTGCATGGGCTTAGTTGCACAAGTGAAGAAATGGTTTCAACAGGCATCATCAGGGAGCAGAGCCCAGTGTCCCAACCATGTCTGGCCCACGGGTGGCTCTCGAGTCTAAGATGTGTCTACTTCCCTGATCTCTGGATCCTCAGGAGGCCAGTGAGGCAGGACTGAGGTGGCTGTTATCCCACTTAAATACTAAGGGAAGGAACCTGCCAAGATGCTCATTGGGGAGGAGCTTGAGCGGAGGCCTTCTGACACTGGCCTCTTTTGACTAAGACTCCATGGGTAGAATTGCCTTTCTCTCTGAGGACACGTGTCTGTGGGAGCTCTGGAGCCAGAGGGAAGGAGGAGGCTCCATGTGAGAGGGGAGCTGGGAGCAGCGGGCACCAAAGATGAATTCCACGTAATCCTACCCGCTCGCAAAACAAACCCTGCTGCCTCCTGGGATCCAGAGACTGTGTGCATGTGTGTGAGCAGAGCGTGGAGTGTACGAGGGGCACAGATAGGTGAGGCTGCACAGAGGTGACTGTCTATGTATGTGTCTGGGGGGTGTGCATAGGAGTGTGGACATAGTTGGGGTTTTTCCTACTGCGTGGAGCGAGCAGGGTCTCTTCCTAGTCACTCTCTTCAGCTCCTGTAAAATCCTGTGGTTATATATATGTATAACTGACTCACTCTGTTATAAAGCAGAAACTAACACACCATTGTAAAGCCATTATACCCCAATAAAGATGTTAAAAAAATAAAAATAAAAAATAAAATTTCCAAAAAAAAAAAAAAAAAAAGATAAAAATAACTGATATCTGCTTGTATAAGCTTTCTACCCCCCACTGATAATGCCTTTTGACAAAAGAACAAGATAGACTAAAATGATGGAACTGTGACATGAAATTTTGAAAAATATTTAAACATTTGGAACATATTTGAGGAACTCGAAAGTGTTTTTTAGAATCCGAAAATCGAAATGAATAATTCTGCATTTACTTAAGGCGCTGAGCCAAGTCTGTAAGGCTTCTTTGCTCAGGGCAGGATGGGCTCTGGCTGGGCCCCTCTAAGGATGTAGCGAGGACGCTACCACACAGCAGCAGGGAGGCTCCTTCCCCGACAGGTGCCCGGGCTGAGCTTCTGCCCTCTGAGCCTTTGGAGACGAGCCCTTTCTCCTGACTCAGCTGCCGTGGGCACCTCAGGTGACAGGCGGGTTGTGGGGCGTGAGCGACCCCAGAGTGTGAGGCTGCAGGGGCGCTGGGACACGCTTGTCCTGCTGGGGTTCTGGGCCCACAGACCAGGGGTCGTGTCCCCTCCTCGTCTGCTCTGCCTTCCCTCCCCTTCTCTCTCTCTTCCATTCCATCCAGCTCCTTGCAAGGGAAGACACACACGCTCCATATGACATTGTGAATTTATCCAGGGAGTGGGCAAGAGGGGAAGCCAGGTGAGTGACAAACGAGCAGACCCGTAACACACGGGAGCGATCGGGGGCCCAAGGCGATGGTAGCGACGCAGGACTTAGCAGCTACAGTAACGGCTGCCCAGGGTGTCCGTGTCCTAATCCCCGGAAATCAGAGCAAGCCTGTTTTATCTGAGTGGGCCTGTGTAATCACAAAGGTCTTATGAAAGAGAAGGCGATGTGAAGACGGAAGCAGGGGAGCATTTGAAGAAGCTGATGGATTTGAATATGGAGGAGGCCCAGGAGCCAAGGACTGCAAGGATTGCAGCTCTAGATGTGGGAAAACGCAAAGAGAGGGATCCTTCCCTAGATCCCTGCACCGGGGGCCCTGCCAACATCTTGGGTGTGTCCAGGGAAACCCACTTCTGGCTTCTGACTCCAGAGCTGTCAGAGAATAACTCTGTGTTGTTCTAAGTCCACAAGGCTGTGGTCAATTGTTTTATCAGCAAAAGGAAGTGAATTCAGGGACAGACAGGCAGGCAGAAGGGGCAAAAGACAAGGAGAGAGTAGACAGAGTGGAGGAGGGCCAGCGATCAGGGTTTAGGTGGACAGTCAGAGGCACAGGTGGGTCAGAGACAGATGGAGAGATAAGCAGATAGGGAGCCTGGAGAAAGGTGAGAGGAGGAGGGCAGAACGTCTGATGGGCAGGAGGCAGGAGATGAGGTAGGCCGGCAGGTGGGCAGATAGAAGCAGGAAGTGGGCACAGAGGCAAGGACGGGCGAGAGTGACAGCGAGACAGGATGGCAGGCAGGGGCCCTCAGAGCTCGTCCTTGTCTCCAACGAGCGTTACAGGAGCTTCCTGAGCTGCAAGTGGATCCCATTCTTGGGCTTCAGCACAACTCTTGGAATGGGAACAGGGACCCTGGAGGGATCGGGCGCCAGCTCAAAGCGAAGCAGGGTCAGGGCCACGGCCACCTTCATCTCATTCATGGCAAACTGCTTCCCGATGCAGTTCCTGGGTCACGGAGGGAAAAGGAAGTGAGCAGAGGCTTCTAAGCCCCGCCGGGCACAGGGCGTTCAGGGCGCTCCTCCCCGCGGCCCAGCCCCGATCCCTTCCTTACGGGTCACACCGAACGTGCCGCCCAAGCCTCGGTCCACCCTCTCCCGCTGACCTTTACAGAGGCCACCTCTCTCCAGGACTAGCTCCTAACTCCTCCTTCTGCTCTCAGCAGCAGCAAGTACTGCGGGGGAGGGTCGGCGCTCTAAGCCACAGGGTCAAGTCACGTGAATCAGTACTTTGTTCACTCGTCCACAGGCCGTTTCTGGTTTCCGGCCAGGCCAGGGCCCTGTAGGGGGTTGTGGGCAACTCTCGGGCCCTCACCACCCATGGCAGACAAGCAGGGGCCCCAGTCCCCAGACAGGACAGGACAGAGCTGTGTCAGGAAGTCGGGATGGCAACCGGGAGGCTTCTTGGAGGGGCCACGGGTTAGCTACCCTCGACCTGCTGGACCGCTTGCCTCCCAGTTGATGCTCCGGCCTCCTGTCTCCCCACAGCCCCTCGGTCAACCCGCCCCTGGAGCCTTCCCATTCTACTCCAGCAAGGCCCCTCCTCCCATCCCGTGGGCTCCTCGCTGGCCTTTTCAGTCTCCTTGCCTCCTGTCCCTCTACTGCAGCCACAGCGGCTCGGGGCCTGCTGTGCCCTCCATCTCAGGGAGGACACGTCGCGGGGCCTCAGCTGGCGTCACAACGCTCTCTGGGCTGCTCCTCACTCACCTCGCGCCTGTCCGGCCCCTCTTCCTCGCTCCGCTCCTGTTGAGGTCCCCTCCCCCCGCCTCTGCTGGCCACATGCTCAAGACTCAGTCTCGTGACCGCCTGGCCTCCCGCCTCTGCCGCCTGCGCCCCTTTCTCCCACATCCCCAAGCAGCTTTAGTGTTAACTCAAGGACACATCACCGTCCCGTGACCAGGACAGTGCCAGAAACATGGAACATTCCACAATCTGCTCAGTGAATGAATGAATGAGTGAAAGAGTGGATGAATGCATGATGTCTGTTTTGTAAGGCAAACGTACTGACCACTACACTATGGAAACGTCGCATGTCTGTCTTGAATAGCGGTAGTTGTTTCTTGACTGTGAACTGTTGGAGCAAGGAAAGTTCCTTTCGTCTCTGTCTTCCCATTTTATAATATATGGTTTGGCACACATAGGCAGTCTTAATAAATAGCTTTCTATTTGAACAAAGTTAATTGAATTGAAAAAGAAAGGACTGGAGCAAAATTAAACATTAATTCTGACCTCGGAATTGAGTTGCCAGGTACCCCCTGTCCTCTGGTGGCAGCCGCATGACCTGCAGCCAATGTCTACAAGGAAGAACAGGACCTTGGCACAGACCAAATACTAGAGCAAATTCCGGGAACGTGTTGTGACAAGAGTGTTCTATGAAGGTTGATTCACCAACTGAAAATTTCACAGAATTATAGGCTCTGAAAAAACTTGGATTACTAAGTAGTTCCAAAGTTATGGAAGTTACTATTTCAGGGAGGATCTGTAGCCGTTGAAGATTTTCACAGGAGTCATTTTCGAGTGTATCATCCAGCATAACAGCTATTTCATGTGTACTTTATATTTTACACGGCAGGAACCTCTCAAATGCATGTGTCCAACACAAAATAGTGAGTTTTCTCTCAAAAGCACTTGATTGTCTTCAATTTCATCCTTTTTTGCCAAAATTAGACTCTGTAGATTTTTGGACTATGGTATATAATCCCCACTACACATATAGAATTTTGGCAACTAGAAAAGGTGTCATGTGTATATTAATATGCTGTCATAACTTTGTTGGGTTCGACTACAGAAATAGAGAAGACACACAAGGCTTTCTTCAAATGGCAACTGTAACTGATCACATACATAGCTTGAAGTCTCAGGACAAGGAAGGCAGCTGGAAATCCAAATCCATGAAAACACGACGGCTGATACAGTGAGAGGTGGATTGGTGAATTAAGTAAAAAAGACAGTGGGCTGGACTAGAAATGTGCCAAGATAGAAAAACCACCTTCTCAGATGACTGATAATTGAGAAAAGCAAACATCTGAAGTTTAAGTTTCATGGAAAATTCTAATGCTGAAAAGTCATACACCTAAAATGAGGAAAACCCTGGAATACTTTGGAGAGGCCATAGCCATGGCAATGTGGCTGGTCATTGCGAAGTCAGGAGGTCAAGGTCTCCATGGTGTGCCCTGAAGGCCTTCTTGTACATGGGGACACACGCCTCCTTCTCAAAACGTCAACATACAGGGACATAACTGCATACACCACATATGAATGTAGACAGCTACACACATCAGGTAGCACCCAGTGACACCAGATGCCCCAGGTACAGAAGGCCTCACCTGGATCCTCCTGAGAAGGGCAGGAAAGCATGGCTGTGTTGAGAAGAACCTGGTGCAAACCGGGATGGGTCAAACACCTGCAGAGAGAGCACCGGGGCCAGGGCAGGTGGGGTCAAACTCCTTGCACCAATCTACCAGGGGACGAGAATCCCCGAGGGGGAGCAGGGGAGGTGCTGGTCTGGAGAGAGCATCCCATCCCCTCCTCCTATGGCCATCATACCTCTGGTTTCGGCCACACCTTCGGGTTGTGGTGAAGCCCATAAAAGAAGAGGGAGATGGGGATTCCTGTGGGGCAGGGAGGAGAGAGAGAAGACTGATGGTACCCATGGCAACAGCGGCAATGTGCACAAAAGGCCTGGGAGCCACCATGAGAGCTACCCTCCATCACTCTGAATGAAATGGTACTCTTGCAGAGCAGGTGGGCTGGAGGTGACAAAGCACATGAGCACAGATTAGGAGTAGGTAACCATGCCCAGGACTGAGAAGGAAAAGAATTGGAGGCTTAGTATTAGGATCGCCTCACGTGAAAACTCACATTTATCAGGTGCCATCATGAGCCCTTGGGGAATGTGCATTAACTCATTTAATCCTCACAGCAGCCCTCAAGGAAGGCACTCCTATCCCCATGTGCAGATGAGGCACCTGAGCCTTCAAGAGGTTAAGGGACATGTCTGTGATCCCACAGAGAGGAGGTGGCTGGGCTGGGATTCAGACCCACTGGGAGGTGAGCCAATGGGTGGCCTCCAACCTTGGCAGGGCTCTCAGACCTGATCATCAGCTGCTCTCTGCCATCCACCTGAGGGCTCCTCAGAGACTGGAATCTCAGACCCATGACAGTGGATTCCTTGAGCTCCCTCAATTACTTAGACCCCATATGGAAAGAACCACATCTCCCCTTGATTATTTCTGCTTTTCTCTTAAGCCTTCACATCTCAAGGAATTAGAATTTTAGGGCTCCATTACCAGACCACATTCAAGGGCTAGCATTTGCTTATTGAGCTTTCATTGGTTCAAGTTCTGTGTCTGGCGTTTTACAAAACGTCCAAACTGCAGAGTAAACATTAATTATCTTGAGGCGGAAACATCTGACAGAGCATCCCGGGGCTGGAAAGCACATGTGTATTTCTGATCTTCCATATGGCCATGCAGAGTGCTTAGTTTAGTGGGTGTGGTGAAGGTCATACCTGCAGGTAAGGAGCGTCCATCAGGGAAGGTGATGGGCTTGCTCAGATCTCTGCTAATGAATGGCACTGGTGGATAGAGTCGCAGTGCCTCCTTGATGCACATAGTGGTGTAGGGCATCTTGTCCAGGTGGTCCCTGAAAGGAAGCCCATCTAAGGGCGGGCAACCAGGGGTCCTCCACTCGCAGAGGGACAAGGTTCTCCCACCTGTTGGGCACTCACCAGGTGATGGAGGTGCCATCCCCCAGGAGGCTCTGGATCTCTTCCCGGCACCTCTGCTGATGCTCAGGGTGGGAGGCCAGAGCATAGAGGGTCCAGGAGATGCCGCTGGCTGTGGTGTCGTGACCCTCAAACATGAACGTATCCACTTCGGCACGGAGCTCCCTGTCAGACAAGCTGCTCCCATTCTCCATCTGCGGAGGCAGGGAGAGTGCAGGGTCTGCCCTTCCTCTTTGCTTCTGGGCAAAAGCCTCAGGCCTCTCCTGCCCACACTCACTCTGGCGAAGAGGAGGATGTCCAGGAAATCCAGGTGCCTCTTGCTCCTCACCTTCTCCAGCTCTCCCTCCTTCTGCAGGTGAGCCTTCCTCAGCTGGATCACTCCATCTGTCCCAGAACAGTGGTTCCCAGGAAGAGCTCAGGGCTCTGGGGAACCAGATGCAGCACCCACTGTAGCCCTATCTGCCCCCCAGGCCCAATCTGGGTACCAGGTGGATGAGGACGAGGGTGGGAATGGGCGCACATGTCAGGGCAGAGAGCTCCAGCATCTTCTGATCCAGGTCGGGAGTCCCCTCAATAGCACAGCCCATGGAGGCTCTGCCTGAATGATGCTGGGAGGGGGTCTCATTCCACCATCAGCAACGTGGTGACACATGTATCTCCCTGCACCTCACCTGACACCCTGACGTCTCGGTTCCCAACCCCTGCACCAGGAAGTACCCAGTGTGGGTGTGTGCCAGCCCCTGAACAGGAAGCAGGAGTCTGGGCTCTGCCTGAGGGGTCAAGGCCAGGGGAGGAGCCGCCCAGAAGGAGGAGCAGAACCTGTGTGTTGATGGGCCAGCTGACAGGCCCGGTGGCTCCAGCGGCCTTCAGGGGTCAGCCTGTAGATGATGTCGTTCTGGTGGAAAGCATTTCTTAATCGGGAAAAAGTCAAATTGCCGAGATCCCTGATGGCCTGGATGTAGGACTGGATGTTCCTGAAGGGAGAGGTTGCAGAGGAGACTGGAGTGGAGGGAGCCTCTGACCTGGAGACGGAGTGGGGCTCCGGGTGGGGATTCCTCATCAGTGGTGACAGGCAGCACTGGGGCTTTGTCATTTCTGCCTCACAGCCCAGGATACCCTCTGTCCTTTACAAGCGACCTGAGCAGCCAGGCTTCTCCCTGTGCAGGAATCAGGGACCTGTGACTGAGTCAAAGTTGGTCTGGGTGGAATTTGACTGTGGTCCATGACTCTGTACAGAATGTTGCTTTTTGTGCTGATAAGCATCCATGCTGCCCTAACTGCCTCTCAGGTAAGTCCTCCCCAGCTTGTGAGAACAAGGACCCTGCCGTTGAAAGGTTGTCACTGACCTGTCTGTCTGGATGCTGCCCTGGTGGCTGAAAGCGCACTTCATGACGGTGTCCAGGGTCATCAAGGAGACGTGTCCGAGGACCTCCAGGTGTGAGTCCAGGCTGACGAGCTCCTCCCACTTGTCCTGTGGTGGGAGGGGGACATTGACCCTGCTGTGCTCCCCCAGAAGGCCTGTCCTGACAAGGCCCGGCTCTCTCTCCATCCCTCTAAATCTTCTGATGAGATTTCCTCACTTTCAAAGCAGATGTGTTTTAGCAGTTTGAAGCTGTAACACATGTGTGTAATGTGATGTCTATTTTCTTGGAATCATTTATTATGTAATTAATTATACTCTCAAAATATTCTGAATTAATTCTGAATTCTAGGAACAATTTATGATGATAATCACCTTGTGGCAGACCAGAAAACATTGTTTCTCAAGGGACAAAGGGGTAATCTTTTGTGTCCTGAGATCAGAACTGGACAGGCGATGACCAACACTTGTAAGCAAATATTTCAAGGCAAGGAAAAGGTTAAGGGACTCTATTTGGGCTCCCATGAAGGAGCAATTCCTTTCATTCATCCGTTGTTAACTGAGACCAGCAGGTGCTCAGTCTGGATCAGAGGTGATGTTTGTCAAGACCTGGCTCTGTGAGTGTAGACATGGCCTCATTTCCTCCCATGAGTGGCTCAATTCCATGCAGAGGCCTTGGGCCCCAGGCCAGAGACTAGTTGAGTGACGTCCTGGGATGTCCACTTGCCACTGAAGCTGCCATTGCCCAGGCATCCGGGGGCAGCTTGCACCACTGTCCAGGGGAATGACCCTTGCTCTAATCCTCTGTGCTGAAAATGTGGAGATGAGAGAAGAGTGGACCCTGAATATACTATGTCCCTGCTTTCCCTTGCCTCGGAGCAAATTGTGGATACAAGCTGCTGCCTGGGCACCCCTCTGTCCCATCCAGTTTTGGTGAGCTCTGTCTCAGAGTACATTCTGAATCCGTCATTCTGGGGGCTGGGTCTGGTGGATGCCTGAGGGACACAAGGGTCTGAGAGTGGACTTTGTCAGCTGTGCTGGATGTGAGTGGGTCCAGGTGACAAGGGATGGACTCACCAGCATCACTTGGACAGAGTCGGCCATGAGACCCACGTAGGGCTTCAGGATGTCATAGTGGAAGGCTGGGGTCAGCATCCGCCGGTGCTGGAACCACGTCTGCCTCTCCAACAAAAGCAAACCGTTCCCTGGGCCACAGATGTGTGTGTGTGGGGGTCGGAGAGACTGGATCAGAGGCGCAACTAGGGACAACTTGGGAGGAACCAAGGGTGTCAGGAGGGGGCACATCATGGGCAAAGGTAGGAAAGGCCAGTACAATTCAGGAACGTGAATTTCCAAAATGGCTGGTCCATAGGATGTTATTATGACAGCTGTGAGACAGAGGTTGAAAAAGAGTAGAGGGGCAGGTGATAAAAGGAATTAGTTAATAGTCAGGCTGAGAGTATCACAGAGGACTGAGAAGTGATAAGAAGAGGCTGAGCTTCAGGAGGGCTCTCAGCACCATTGCAAAGGGTGAGAGTTTTACTGGAAGGAGAGAAATGAGGCTTGACTGAGAGATGAGGTGGTGACAGTGTGCCTGGCACCTGTTGTTCTCCATTAACCAAACAGGTAGCTCTTGGTAAACCTAACTGGTGGGTGGACTGCAGTTGTATTGAAATGTACTTACCAATCCAGGGAATCAGCAATCTGTAGGAATCATGAGACTTTGGGTCTGAAAGGTAAGGAAGGAAAGTGGAGGGCACCAAACAAGGCAGGCAGCCCCCAGAGTAGCTGTGGCACCTTCCATTCCTGATGCCTGTCCACTGGCAGTCTGTCTCAAGCCACCTCCCTCTTGCCTCCCATCCCTGACTCTCTCTGTCCTGATGGTCACTGTGGGCCCAGGAAGGCAGACTCAGTGTCCCAGCAGCAGAACACCCACAGGACTAAGATGGTGAGTCGGCAAGAACGATAGGCTCTGCTCAGTGCCACAGAGTAAGAAAGAAGCCCGTGGTTTTCCTACAGTTTGTGGTGGTTTGGCCATTTTATGACCCAGGACAGGCAACAGTGAGAGGTGCCAAACCTAAATCAGTGTGGACAGGGAATTGACTTCCAGACCTGGGATCATCTCAATTGGGTTAAAACAAGAAAGAAAGTAAGACAGAAAAGAGAAGCCAGCCCCACCCAGGTGTTTAAGCATTCACTGTAAGTGAATAATGTTGGCCTTAGTCTAGCTTGTGGGCTGCAAGGATGGCTGGTAGGGAGTCAGGTATTGATGGCTGAAGTGCCAGTTTCTTCTGGAATTTCACAGGTCCAGGGGCATGTACCCAAGAGGGAAGATTTTCTTCTGCTGGGATGTGGGGTTTCCCTCTCACCTGATCTCCCCAGGACCACCTTCATGTAGTCAGTGTCATAGATCAACACCAGGGCTTTCGTCCCCCACAGCCAGCGAGCACAGGCACTTGGGTATTTCTCTACCCTCTTCAGTAGGGGTCGCAGCTCGGTCTCATCTTGGAACTGTCCCCAAGGGAAAGATAAATCAATAAAACCCTTCTCTGAGTTCCAGTGCTGGAGTGGGGGTGAAGGGCAGGATGGGTACAGGGAGATCGTTCTGGATCGATCAGCAGAACTAGGAATTTGGAACTATATCTTCTGACCTGGGCTCTGCCCCAGACCTGCTGGCTGTCCACCTTTGTCCTAAGACCACATTCTGTCCTGTTGTCGGGTAGATTTATGGGCCACCACTACAAACTGCCTACAGAAACTTATATCAGGGATTCACTCCCTGGTGTACAAAACTTTTGGAAGTTATTCTTGCAACATTTGCATGAGCAATTTATGATAATTCATGTCATTTGATAAGCAGTTTTGTCATTGAATTTTATTTAGAGAATAAAATAGATTATATTAAAAAAATAAATTTATATATTAATTTCCTTTTGCTTACTGATTGCTATATATCATCAATATTTTCCCAGCATACATGTAAATGTTTGCTAATATGAAAGTGTTAGGATGTATACGGCTAAGTGAAAAAAATTAAGTACTAAATTGTATGTGTATATGTTATTATTTTTTAATTTTTTTTGCGGTACACGGGCCTCTCACCATTGTGGCCTCTCCCGTTGCGGAGCACAGGCTCCGGAAGCGCAGGCTCAGCGGCCATGGCTCACGGGCCCAGCCGCTCCGCAGCATGTGGAATCTTCCCAGACTGGGGCACGAACCCGTGTCCCCTGCATCGGCAGGCAGACTCTCAACCGCTGCACCACCAGGGAAGCCCGTGTATATGTTATTTTACATATTGAGTGTATACACAGTGATAGGATAGATTCTGGATGTATACATGAAAATGGTATTGAACTAAGGTTCTTATATGTGTCTTTTAAATCTTATTTTCACTTACCAATAACCAGAAACTTTTATGAACTTCCCACCGCCCAGAGGAATCTCTTGAAACTCCTCAGTGTGGACCACAAAGGCCCTTGCTTTCTGGCTTTACCCTCTCTATTCTTGCCTCCTGCCGGGCTGGAGAGTCCACAGGACCCGTCGCTCTGCCCCCAAAGATGCTGCTGCCTGTGCGCCTTGCACTGGCCCCACCTGCTCGCACTTCTAGGCTTCTGCCCAGGTTCTTTCCGCTACCTGGTGTGCCCTCCTCTTTGCCACAGAGCAACTGCCTCTGCTTAACCTTGGAGATTCAGCTTCGTTTTATCACCTCTGGATTTCTCGTCAACATTTGGTCCTAGGCATGTTCCATGCAGTCACCTCGTCTTTAATTCAATGGCTTCTGTGTAACTCAAAGCAACCATCTGCCACTTTGGTATCTAATCTCTGCCTGTATCCTTCTACCATCAGGACTCACCAGCTCCGAGGAACTTGCCTACTGTGGGATGGGTTCCTTCACTGAGCACGTATTTACTGAGCATTTACTATGTGTCAGGCACTGGTTTAAGGCACTGAATTAGGATGTGGCTGTAGATGCTTGTCTGTTTGGAGCCTCCAGGAGGAGACAGCGAGATTGAGGACATGACAACCGTAGGGGCTCATGAATGTGTGATGGAGGGAAGACCAAGCCTCTGGGGAAGCTTTGGGGAAGGGGCCCTAACTCAGACCTGGACGTTTGAAAGCTCTTCGTCACGCACTTGCTCATTCATCGAGTCATCATTTACCAAGATGCTCTCGGGTTACAAAGATGAACCAGAGGCGGGCTCTCCCATAAGGAGCTCACAGCTATGACACTGCAGACAAAACTAGCTGAATCTGGTTAGCACTGCCTTATGATAAGGACAGCCGAGGGAAAAAGCGTTGTCCCCTCCGCTCCTGGGAGACCCAGAAAGACATCTTGGAGGAGGTGGCTTGGGGTTGGGCCTTTGTAGACAGACATATGAGGGACAAGATCATTCCAGGTAGAGGGCACATGGGAGCAGAGTCCCAGAGGCCAGAATGCCCAGGCAGGCGGGGAGGATGCTGAGTAACCTGGGGTGCAGGAGGTTAGGAAGGAGAGGGGAGAGAGGTACTGGGCCAGCCCACGTGGGGCTCGGGCTGTTTCTGGTTCCTGTCTTTGGCTCCACTCTACTCTAATCACGCTGCAGAGAAAGGGAGGCCTTAGCTCTCTGCAACCCCTGATTTTCTCGCAATTTGTTCAGTCCACAAACCCTTGATGAGCCCCTCTCCACGTGGCCCCTGACTTGGCTCTGAGCCCTCCGCCGCTCAGGCTAATGCTGCCAGTGCTGGGTGGGTAGGCGCTGCCCCTCCGCAGCCTGCAAGCCGCTCCTTGCCTCCTTCCTGTCCCTCCACACATTGGACTGGCAGCCCGCTGCACAGGCTCTGTGCAGGGTGCTGGAAGTGAGGGGGATTTCACGCTCAGTTCCGAGAGTACATAGTCCAGTGAGGGAGGACACCAGGCGGGTGACCTCACCCTGTGGATGGTGCAACTCAAATGTCAGTTCTCCTTACCTGGCACCATCCTGGGAACATCGCTCATGTGTGCCAGCAACTTGTCAGGGTTTAAGCACTGAAATCAGGAGACTGGAAAATTCCTCAGTCTTAACAAACTGAGCCAGTTTGCCCCTACAGCTGCCGTAACCCCCCCACCCAGCAGGTGGGTCTGTTTTCCTGTGACCTGAAATTTTCCTAGATTCCTCTCTGTCATCTCCATGGACAGTGAGCCCACAGGGCAGCATCCATCAGACTGATGTCTGTGCTCCCAGGCAAGCTCAGGGCCAAGCAGAAAGGATGGGATTGAGGGATGGGGCAGGGAAGCATCTAGAAGCCTGTTCTATGAGAACAACTGAAGCTGCTCAGCCTGGAGACGGGGGAGACTCAGGAAGGAACAGCCACTGTCCTCAAGGTGCAGAGCTGCTAGGACAGCCTGCAGATCTACCTAAGGAAGGAGTGTCTGACAGACCCAAGGACACCAGCACGGGGTCCTGGGAGGGAGGGAGCTCCCCGGACTGGGATGAGGAGCCAAGACCCGTGAGGTAAGCTGGGTCCTTTTGTGAGGCCACGTGCTTGTCCCACAACAAGGCTTCGTCCCGTGGGCATGCTGACCAGGACCATGGCCTGAGAGCCCCGGCCCTCCCTGCCCTCCCACTCTCCCGTCCCACTCCATCCTACCTCCTGCATGTGCCCATAGAGCCAGTGGGAAGGAGGAGACGGGAACTGCTGGAGGGCTTTGAGCAGCCACTGTCTGTGCAGGTAGAGCTGTGCTGCCTTGAGCAGAAGCAGAACCAGGCCAAGCAGGGAGGCCACCTGCAGGAGCCCAGAGACACTGCCCAGGGCTCTGGTGGGGATCAGCACAGAGACACTCATGGTACAGCGGCTTCTGGATTGCTGACTGTCCCTGAAGGTGGCTGACCTCCCCTGAGCACCCAGCCTGGTCATGGAGGCTTGCCCCGCCCACCTGGGGGAGGGTGAAGGTGAGGGCAGAGCTTAGACCTGGGCCTCCAGAGTTGATTAACTGTGGAGGATGCACTTCTGGAAACAGTGGGAGAAAAACTTCCTCAGCTGACAGTGACAATGGCCAAGCGCAACCCCACTTTTCTTCTCCCTATTACCTACCAAATATTTAATGAGTACCTACAACGTGTCAGGCAGTCTGCTAGGTGCTGGGACACAGCCGCAAGCAAAGCAGACATGAATCTTGCTGACTTCAAGACGGTCACAATCCAGTTTACCAATGTTCAGTAGATTTGGTTGGTTTTATTATCACCCCATTTCAGAGGGGAAAACTGATTTCAGAGATGAAAAGTGATGTGGCCCGAGGAAAACAGCCTCTGCTTGTCCCAGTTGAAACTGAAACCCTTCTCTGTTGGACTTCAAAGCTGCCTGCCTCAGCTGCCTCTGAAATGTTCCCCAGGGCTTGTACCCATCAACTATGCAGTGTGTCCTGGGTGACTGTGCCAGTGGACAGAGCACTGGCCTTGGATTCAGAAGGTCCAGCCCCAGGGCAGTTTCACTACATATGAAGCTAGAGACTTGTCCTCTCTGAGCCTCAGCTTCTCCTTTGAAAGGTGGGATAATAATTCATTTCCTACTTATATCCAATGAATGTTCATTCAGTCATTCATTCACTCAGCAAATATTTCTTGAGCTCACAGGCTATAGGTAAAGGTATAAAGCTATATTAGTTAAGAAAAATGGTAGGCTTGTGCTGGAAGAATGAATAGTGTCTGGACCAATCAGGAAAGGAGAAAACTAAAAAAAAAGAATGGGGCTTTGAAGGGTGAATAGGAGTTCACCAGGTAGAGAGTGCTTCTAGAGGGATGGGCGCTGAAAAAGTCATGGAGGTCATACGTGAAAGAGCAAGGGATGGGGAAACCTTAATTTTCTGTCTCTTACATCCCTGTTTCATGATTCTCTTTCCCAAGATCTAATCCAGTGTCCATAATTCAGAAAGTAAAACACCAAAGATTTCCATGGAGAATTACTTGGAAGCAAGCTCTCTTAGGAGCCTTGAGTTTCCTCCAGACCTGCTCCCCCACCAAGTTTAACTTCTGTCCCAAGAGCCTCTTCCTCTGCCTGTCCTCATGACAGATGCTTCACATATAACCTATAGGGCCACATTCTGGGCTGCTGTCCTAACTAAAGGTCAGAGGTGACTAACCACCTACACATAACCCCTTGCAGCCCAACCTTTCACCCCCTCTCAGGTTCCTCTCAGGTCTCTGCCTCTGCTTCCCACGAGATTGTGAGCAACTAGACTTTCCTTTGTTGGTTCAGCAACTTGGTCCAGCACTAGGAGCAGTAAAGAGAGTGAGTGCCCATCGGCCCATGCTCTCAGAGTGACCAGCCCGAGCCCTTCTGCACCACCTGACACCAGGGGACCTGCCAAGCTTCCTGCCCAGGACAGTCCCAGCTAACTCTCCTGCCCCACCCACGGTCAGGCAAGAGTGTACTCCAGGCCCCAACTTTTTTTTTAACATCATTATTGGAGTATAATAGCTTTACAATGGTGTGTTAGTTTCTGCTGTATAACAAAGTGAATCAGTTATACATAGACATATGTTCCCATATCTCTTCCCTCTTGCGTCTCCCTCCCACCCTCCCTATCCCACCCCTCCAGGCGGTCACAAAGCACCGAGCTGATCTCCCTGGGCTATGCGGCTGCTTCCCACTAGCCGTCTATTTTACATTTGGTAGTGTATATATGTCCAGCTGGCCCTTTCTTGGAGCTGAGTGAACTAGCCCTGTGACCTAGGAACGGGGAGGGGACGGGGCCGAAGGTTCCAGCTGCAAGCAGCGGCTGGGGGAGACGTCCCCTTCAGGAGGCACATGGCGGCATCACAGCACAGCACAGGGCTGCAGGGGGTCTCCTCTGGCACCCGGGCCCTGGGTTAGGAAGGGCAGGGGTGGGACGGGAGGAGCACCTGTGTGCAGAAGCAGCAACAGAGCAGGGCTGGTGCAGAGCGGCTGGTGGAGGAGTGCGAGGGGCCTGGCGCTGCTCAGGGTCAGGGGGGCCAGTCGCCCCGCGGTCTCCAGGAGCGCCAGGGTTGCAGAAGCCCGTCCTTGCTCAGGGGCTGGGCACACATGCCGGGGACTGCGAGGGCCGTCCTGTGCGGGACGCGCACCGGCTGCTCCTCCCAGACCCTCCTGCACAGCTGTCCGCTTGGGCCTCTGAGGAGCCTGCAGGCCCTGCGTGTGAGGAAGGGCTGCCGGGGGCTGGTGACACGGCCAGGCTGGGCTCTTCTCAAATCTCATTTGGGCTGAAGGATTGGCTTCCTGAGGTCCTTGCGCTGAGCCAAGTCTGTAAGGCTTCTTTGCTCAGGGCAGGATGGGCTCTGGCTGGGCCCCTCTAAGGATGTAGCGAGGACGCTACCACACAGCAGCAGGGAGGCTCCTTCCCCGACAGGTGCCCGGGCTGAGCTTCTGCCCTCTGAGCCTTTGGAGACGAGCCCTTTCTCCTGACTCAGCTGCCGTGGGCACCTCAGGTGACAGGCGGGTTGTGGGGCGTGAGCGACCCCAGAGTGTGAGGCTGCAGGGGCGCTGGGACACGCTTGTCCTGCTGGGGTTCTGGGCCCACAGACCAGGGGTCGTGTCCCCTCCTCGTCTGCTCTGCCTTCCCTCCCCTTCTCTCTCTCTTCCATTCCATCCAGCTCCTTGCAAGGGAAGACACACACGCTCCATATGACATTGTGAATTTATCCAGGGAGTGGGCAAGAGGGGAAGCCAGGTGAGTGACAAACGAGCAGACCCGTAACACACGGGAGCGATCGGGGGCCCAAGGCGATGGTAGCGACGCAGGACTTAGCAGCTACAGTAACGGCTGCCCAGGGTGTCCGTGTCCTAATCCCCGGAAATCAGAGCAAGCCTGTTTTATCTGAGTGGGCCTGTGTAATCACAAAGGTCTTATGAAAGAGAAGGCGATGTGAAGACGGAAGCAGGGGAGCATTTGAAGAAGCTGATGGATTTGAATATGGAGGAGGCCCAGGAGCCAAGGACTGCAAGGATTGCAGCTCTAGATGTGGGAAAACGCAAAGAGAGGGATCCTTCCCTAGATCCCTGCACCGGGGGCCCTGCCAACATCTTGGGTGTGTCCAGGGAAACCCACTTCTGGCTTCTGACTCCAGAGCTGTCAGAGAATAACTCTGTGTTGTTCTAAGTCCACAAGGCTGTGGTCAATTGTTTTATCAGCAAAAGGAAGTGAATTCAGGGACAGACAGGCAGGCAGAAGGGGCAAAAGACAAGGAGAGAGTAGACAGAGTGGAGGAGGGCCAGCGATCAGGGTTTAGGTGGACAGTCAGAGGCACAGGTGGGTCAGAGACAGATGGAGAGATAAGCAGATAGGGAGCCTGGAGAAAGGTGAGAGGAGGAGGGCAGAACGTCTGATGGGCAGGAGGCAGGAGATGAGGTAGGCCGGCAGGTGGGCAGATAGAAGCAGGAAGTGGGCACAGAGGCAAGGACGGGCGAGAGTGACAGCGAGACAGGATGGCAGGCAGGGGCCCTCAGAGCTCGTCCTTGTCTCCAACGAGCGTTACAGGAGCTTCCTGAGCTGCAAGTGGATCCCATTCTTGGGCTTCAGCACAACTCTTGGAATGGGAACAGGGACCCTGGAGGGATCGGGCGCCAGCTCAAAGCGAAGCAGGGTCAGGGCCACGGCCACCTTCATCTCATTCATGGCAAACTGCTTCCCGATGCAGTTCCTGGGTCACGGAGGGAAAAGGAAGTGAGCAGAGGCTTCTAAGCCCCGCCGGGCACAGGGCGTTCAGGGCGCTCCTCCCCGCGGCCCAGCCCCGATCCCTTCCTTACGGGTCACACCGAACGTGCCGCCCAAGCCTCGGTCCACCCTCTCCCGCTGACCTTTACAGAGGCCACCTCTCTCCAGGACTAGCTCCTAACTCCTCCTTCTGCTCTCAGCAGCAGCAAGTACTGCGGGGGAGGGTCGGCGCTCTAAGCCACAGGGTCAAGTCACGTGAATCAGTACTTTGTTCACTCGTCCACAGGCCGTTTCTGGTTTCCGGCCAGGCCAGGGCCCTGTAGGGGGTTGTGGGCAACTCTCGGGCCCTCACCACCCATGGCAGACAAGCAGGGGCCCCAGTCCCCAGACAGGACAGGACAGAGCTGTGTCAGGAAGTCGGGATGGCAACCGGGAGGCTTCTTGGAGGGGCCACGGGTTAGCTACCCTCGACCTGCTGGACCGCTTGCCTCCCAGTTGATGCTCCGGCCTCCTGTCTCCCCACAGCCCCTCAGTCAACCCGCCCCTGGAGCCTTCCCATTCTACTCCAGCAAGGCCCCTCCTCCCATCCCGTGGGCTCCTCGCTGGCCTTTTCAGTCTCCTTGCCTCCTGTCCCTCTACTGCAGCCACAGCGGCTCGGGGCCTGCTGTGCCCTCCATCTCAGGGAGGACACGTCGCGGGGCCTCAGCTGGCGTCACAACGCTCTCTGGGCTGCTCCTCACTCACCTCGCGCCTGTCCGGCCCCTCTTCCTCGCTCCGCTCCTGTTGAGGTCCCCTCCCCCCGCCTCTGCTGGCCACATGCTCAAGACTCAGTCTCGTGACCGCCTGGCCTCCCGCCTCTGCCGCCTGCGCCCCTTTCTCCCACATCCCCAAGCAGCTTTAGTGTTAACTCAAGGACACATCACCGTCCCGTGACCAGGACAGTGCCAGAAACATGGAACATTCCACAATCTGCTCAGTGAATGAATGAATGAGTGAAAGAGTGGATGAATGCATGATGTCTGTTTTGTAAGGCAAACGTACTGACCACTACACTATGGAAACGTCGCATGTCTGTCTTGAATAGCGGTAGTTGTTTTTTGACTGTGAACTCTTGGAAGCAGGGAAAGTGCCTTACGTTTCTGGGTTCCCATCTCCTAATACACGACTTGG